TGTGTGTGTGTGTGTGTGTGTGTGTGTGTGTGTGTGTGTGTGTGTGTGTGTGTGTGTGTGTGTTAGAGATACTTTCTCTATAAGTGAAGTATGAGTGTCTTCCTTACATAAGGTCCCCGGCGCTGAGGAAACCCGCGCCTCGGGGGGAAGCTGAGAGGGAGGGGGGTGTGTAGGACCTCGAACCTCATTAGTGTGTTAATTGCAGCAGACTTTATTTCCTGTAGAGTTCATTAATTATGCATCACGGGCGGCTTATTAATGATACGACGAGGGGCGATGCTGGCGCCCCCTACCTGAGCACGAGAGGCGGAGCGGGTGGGTCACGTGATTACAAGCATCGATTCTAACATCCGGGTGGAGGGTTGTATGCTAATATAATAAGCGTTGTATCATGTCCTTGTATACTAAAATAATGTGTGTGTGTGCGTGCTTGCGCGTGTGTGTGTGTGTGTGCGTGCTTGCGCGCGCGCGTGTGTGTATGTGCGTGTGCATCACACAGTGACGTCACTCGATGACGTCACGTCATTAACCTCCCCCTCCCCGCGTTTTACATGCTCAATGACGTCACTCCATGACGTCACTCAATGACACTAACCTCTCCCTCTCTCCGTGGTTTCTCGCGCCGCAGTGACGTCACGCGGGGTACGGAGTACCGCTACAGCATACAGGCGATCTCCGGCATCAAGTCAAGCGCTGAGTCTCCGGCGACGCGCTACCGACACGGCGAACCGTACTGCGGCGACGGTCGGCTGTCCAGGTACGTCACAGCAAGCAGACGCCGACGCGGGAAGGTCAGGGAAAGGTCACGTGAAGGTCAGGGGAAGGTCACGTGTAGGTCACGGGAAGGTTAGGCGAAGGTCAGGGGAAGGTCACGTGTAGGTCACGGGAAGGTTAGGCGAAGGTCAGAGGAAGGTCACGTGTAGGTCACGGGAAGGTCAGGTGAATGTCAGTGGTGGGCATGTGTGTGTGTGTGTGTGTGTGTGTGTGTGTGTGTGTGTGTACGTAGGGGGGTGTGTGTGTGTGTGTGTATGTGTGTGTGTGTGTGTGTGTGTGTGTACGTAGGGGGGTGTGTGTG